GCGTATGCATCCATACCTCTGCACTTTACTTCCGCACCTCCTCTGAGTCTCAGTGTGCTTTTCTCTTTCCTTCTTGTTGTAGAATTTCCACTCAGCCAGCCTTCCTGTGGTTCTGGATGATGTCCGTTTTGTCTTTTAGTTGTATTTTTGAAATGGTTGTGCGAGGCAGCAATTTCAGGTGTTTACCTATGCCGCCATCCTGGTTTCTCTCTAAAGGCAAAGTTTTTTAAAACATAACACTTTTATGTATAATTTATATACTTTGCAAAATTTTAACAATGAAGCACTCTATTTGTAAAAGCTTAAAAAAATCATATTGATCTGGAACTTATAATTTTTTTAGAATATATTTTTAAATCTTTTCAACTATTTAGTTCAAGCATATTCTGATTACTGCTCTAGGGTGTTTGTTTGGGGAGGGGAGGTTTTTGGGTTTTTTTTTTGCTTTTAATGTTTAATAATGCTAAGTCAACTATAGATACTTGATGTAGGTCTAGCCATTAGCTCAGCTGGGCAGCACTGCTTTCTTGCTAGTTTTTCTTGTACTTCCAGAGGACTTACCCAGAGTCAGAAGGACTTTCTGGACTATTAGAATAATAAAGACCTGGAAAGAGATAATGAAAGAAATTGTGGGGCCCAGCCCTTAGGGACCTTTAAGAAAAGAATAACTGATCTTTTATCAGATTAGGCATGCATAGGCTTGGTAATACCTCCAGTGAGGGCTGACCTAAAGACTCTCTGGAATTCTCCTTTTCATGATGCTGTTGATTTTTGGAGCTTTTTTGTATTAAGGTATACCTGACATACATTATATTAGTTTCAGATGACCAACATAATGATTTGATTTCTGTGTATATTGCAAAATGGTAACCACAATAAGTCTAGTTAGCATCCATCACCATTATGATGCTGTCCTTTTAAGAAGAAGGTGTGCTGAGCATCCTGGAGCTATGATTCTGCCTCTCCACCATGTTTCCTACTAGAGAGGGCTTGGGTTATTAGGTTTTCATAGCACCGGACTCTGCCCAGGTACATCAAGTCCAGCCTAAATTCTCAAACCTGGTCCTATTTACTCTGTGAATTAATCTGGGCAAGAGAGCTGAGGCCTAGAGAAGAAAAACGGACAAGAGTGGGGTAGAGAATGTGAAAGACAGAGAGGATAAAAATAGACAGAGAGAGAGAGAGAGAGCAAGAGAGAGAGAGAGCAGAGAGAGAGAGAGAGAGAGAGAGAGAGAGAGAGATTGAAGGCAAGGGTCTACTTCAAAACAGCAGATAAATGTCTTTTTCCCAATATTAAAAACCTGTCTTCCAAAATGAAAAGACTAATTCGCAGCTAAATACAAATCCATGCTCTGTATCTTTTTAATGACATTTCACCAAGATACAAAGCAGCATATCTGGTTGAAGGTTGGATGATTTGATCCTTCTATTAGTCAATATAAAATAAAGAATCTGTAGTTTCATTACCCTTAAATTGTCTGACAGTAGGTGAAGTTAACTTATATCAGAAGCTGTTCTTTCATATTATACATTATAGTCAACGATATATTAGCTTTGACGTTTTGTTACGTCTCAGTACACTGTGGAGTGGATTTACTATGAAATTAATTTAGAAGGGAGCTTTTCATCGAAGGAAATAATGGTCAGCATCATCTGTGCTTCAAATTATAAGCAGGATGGAAATTCAGGAAAATTCATAGATGTTAATAAGAATGATTCTTATATTTCTAATCCTGAGGATATTCTATGTCTCCCAAACTCCAGTTTCTTAAAAGTCTATTCAGGAGGGAGATTTTATTGTTGAAGAAATGTTATAGTACATCCTAACATGATTATTTTGTCTTACAGAAAGAAAACATACACAGATTAAACAGTATATAAAAGTTCAGCTTTGTGAAAGACAAACACTATAACTGAAACATTGAAAACACAATTTAAATATGATTGATTTGACTAATACACAATCAAGTCTTTATAAAGTGAATTTCCCATACATGAAATTTGATTTTACCTATAGGATTCATCACTCATCACAAGGGTTTTATGACATTCTGTTATCAGATGCCATTCTCTCACTTTTTGTTATCGTTTCTAATAAGATCATGCTGGTCAACTGACATTTTGAGGCTCCAATTAAAAAGATAATCAGTAAATGAAATCAGTAAAAGCCAAATAAAAAGAAAAACAAACACATCAGAGTGATAAGTGTAGTATTTTAGCTTCAATAACTTGGAATGTAAATATATCACAGAGGGATGTTTCAGCTGCTAAACTAATAAAACCCAGTCAATCAAATAGTGAAAGATATCAGAGGAAGTATTATAAGACAAGAGCCCAATGGAGACACATAAGAGAAAACCCATCAGTTTACTCATTCACTTCCTTATCTGTTCTATAGGTATGGCAGTGGAACGGTTTTTTTCTCTCTCTCTCTGTTTGCATTTATCTTTTGCCTGAATGACTTCAATTTCACTTAGATTAGGACAGAAACTTCAGAACAGCCAGTTAATCCATCCTGTGTTCATGGGCAGCTGAGCAAACAGACCAATATCAGTGTAAAATTGTAATTCTCGAGATTAATGTTGTCTTTCCTGTTTGCAGTGAACTTGACCTCCTTGCCTTTTTTTATTTCCTCTTTCAGCTTCTGTCCAGGGTCCCTGGGAGAGAGCCATCTCGCCAAACAAAGTGCCCTACTATATCAAGTAAGTCAGAAGCATCACATTCTCTATTGTGGCTAATCTGTATATTCGCAAGTGAATTTATTTGTAAAACGTGGCATTAGCCTGGCCTACAATACCTAGTTCTTCTTCCCCAAGGACGCTTGGATAATCAACTCATGTTTAAATTACCACTAAAAATTTGCTGATGCCTTTAGGAAAAATCCATTTGATGCAGCTATGTGTCGTGTTTTGTGATTGGAGGTGGTGTGGATTTTTCACAATAGAACAAAAAGCTGATGATGACATTACTAGTGACCTAACACACAAATTCGTGCTCATTGAAAGGAAATTAATTAGAAGAAAAATTTTAATATCACTATTGGCCCTTTCTCTATAATAGAAGTGTCGACCAAACTCATGATCAACAATGTCAGATTGAAACACACGCATGCGATTGGCGCCAGCAAGAGCTTTATATATACAGATAAACTTGCTTAATTAGACCTGCTTTCTGATTTAGCTAAACTTTTTCCAGCCCAGTGAAGCACCCCAACTTCTCTTTCAGGTAATTGTCAGCAACACAGCAGTAAATATCAACACAAAGCAGATTATTATAGATCACACAGGGAGAACAAAGGATAAAATATTTAACTGCAGCAGTGTTTGACTATATTCTGCACAGTGAGAAAACCTGAAGTCATTTTCAAGGTCCACCATTTCTTACTTCTTTTCAGTTGGGTCAAGTTTCTAAGCTCTCTAATCTCTGTTCTCTGCCTAATGAAAAGAAAGTAGGATTCCATCGGGTCTCCTGTGTACCTACTCCAGGACTCCTGTGAGGATCAAATGATATGAGGCACAAGAAAATGCTTCACAGACATTTGGTTAAAGTGTAAAATGTTTGCACCTGGCTATAAAGCAAGTCGTGTTCCTGGGCTGCAGAAACTCCAAGGACGCTAGTCGTCACTAGGGAGAGGAAGCTGAGCGTTGCTACGTGATGTCATTACCCAGCGCCCTCAGCCACCATTTCTGGGCTGGGCTGGGCTGGGCTGTGGGCCACATTTTGCGCCATGGGGTCTCAGCAGCATCAGCTGTGATTTGGTGGGCTGTCACTCTGGGATGGTGGCGGGGCTTGTGTCCCACTTGGGGAAAGCTGAGTGTTACTTTGTTGGTGCCAGATCTGTGGTGTCGTTTCTCTATAAATGGCCAGTGCACGTCTCAGCAGCTCCTGCATTGAGCATCTGCCCCCTGGTGGTCAGTGCGTGTCATAGTCGGACAGTCAGACTCTTAGCATATTAGCCTTTTATATATATAGATTGACAGTGGAAGTAAATAGTTACAAGAACAATTTAATCTATTGAGGGGTTTTTCTGCATTTCTTCTTCAGACAGAGATGGAAGTTTTCTGCAACTATATGTACACAAACTATTTTAGGTGAATAAATACTTCATGAACCCAAAAGGCAGTCAGCAGCAGTCCTGGATTTGTGGAGCTGAGTTGTTCATTCTCGAAATACAGCACTCAGCATTTTTCACATAACAACAAGAGAATGATACCATTTTCTGGGGCCATCTGTGTCTGTCAAAGGAATACAGGTGCTTAGAAGCATCTT